TCCCACAGGATGGCTGTACACTACTACACTGGGCGTGCATTCACTGTCGTGCCAAGGTGGTGGAGCTGCTGATGAAGCACGGTGTGGATACTGAAGCCAAAGACAAGGTCAGTACGGAACTTCCACTCTCCTTTTGCTGACCAAACCTGTACCAATGATACCTTACCTGTACGTCATGCCAATGCAACATCCCACAGCGTGGCTGGACACCACTACACTGGGCGTGCATTCACTGTCGTGCCGAGGTGGTGGAGCTGCTGATGAAGCAGGGTGCTGATACTCAAGCCAAGGACAAGGTCAGTACAGAACTTCGCCTCTCCTTTTGCTGACCCAACCTGTACCAATGATACCGTCGGTACTTGTACGTCATGCCAATGCAACATCCCACAGCGTGGCTGGACACCACTACACTGGGCGTGCATTCAGGGCCATACTGAGGTGGTGGAGCTGCTGATGAAGCAGGGTGCTGATACTCAAGCCAAGGACAAGGTCAGTTCAGAACTTCGCCTCTCCTTTTGCTGACCCAACCTGTACCAATGATACCGTCGGTACTTGTACGTCATGCCAATGCAACATCCCACAGGATGGCTGTACACTACTACACTGGGCGTGCATTCACTGTCGTGCCAAGGTGGTGGAGCTGCTGTTGAAGCACGGTGTGGATACTGAAGCCAAAGACAAGGTCAGTACGGAACTTCCACTCTCCTTTTGCTGACCCAACCTGTACCAATGATACCTTACCTGTACGTCATGCCAATGCAACATCCCACAGCGTGGCTGGACACCACTACACTGGGCGTGCATTCACTGTCGTGCTGAGGTGGTGGAGCTGCTGATGAAGCAGGGTGTTGATCCTAAATCCATGGACAGCGTTAGTTCAGCACCTTCTACTCCCTTTTTAACCCCCCTATCCTGTACATGATGATGCTGATGATGCAGTACCCGTACGTCATGCCGATGCATCATCCCACAGCGTGGCTGGACACCATTGAATTGGGCGTGCTTTCAGGGTCATGCCAACATAATGGAGATGCTGTTAGAGCACGGTGTTGATCCCAACGCCAAGAAAGACGTCAGTACAAGTACAGTATCCCCTCCTCCCTCTCCTCTGGCTGCCGTTGCTTCTGCTCCCGCTGCTCGGCTTGTTTGCGCCGTCTCTCCCCCCTCTACATTCTATCCCTTGTGCGCGTCCGTTTGGCCTCTTGCTCCTATCTTCTTTCCCGCTATCCCTCTTTCTTTCCCGTTTTTGTCCACTCTTCGTCGGTGCTCTCTGCATTTCATCTTGTTTCCTGCTATATCTTCCGTGCGCGAAGAACTCATTTCTCATGTTCCCGAACGTTGATGATAATATAGAACGGCCAAACACCGCTCCATGTAGCCTGCACTGCCTTGCCTGCCAGCCGAAAGGGTATCCAGCAACTCCTGCGGCACGGTGCCGACCCGGATACGAGAGATCATGTCAGCACGATGTCGTATTTGTTAGCTGTTCTGCTGCACCGGCAATTGATATTTGATGGCCTGCTGTGGTAGACGGGTGCACGGCCCTTGGATCTGCTCCTTAGCAGAAGTCCCATCAAGCTGGAGGTGAGCTTTTATTTTTTGGTACTGATTGCAGAGTCAGGCTTGCTCACCGACGAATCTGCTCCACTTCATAGCTGATTGAAGAGCTATTGCGCGCAACCCGTACTCCTTGCTCCTATCAAACTTCGGATTCAAATGGTGCGAACCTGTAGGCAATGTGATTGTCTATATCGTCTTGTTCTCATCGAATTTCAACGTGGCGCCAGTTCAAGGCTTGATTCATGCTGAGCAGGTCAGACGCTGGCGGTGCGCTGCTGCTGTTCTCTGTAACGTCGGCTGGCGCGTGGATCCTCAATTGTTCAATATCCAAGATCTACAAACCCTTTGTGACCGCGTGACCGCTCTAACGGCCGCCGCTCAAGCTGCACGTACAAATTGAAAATGCGTGACGCTTGTGGTTGTCTTGTCGATTGCTATTATTGGACTACAAGCATAGACGTATGTCCAGAAGCTGCTGGAACACTCTGGAAGATACCAGTCCAGGATGATGTCTGATGATTCTTGACGGCGCTCCTCAAGGAAGCCTGTAGAACATTGTGATTGTTCCTGCCACCGAGATATAAGTACGGTTCTGTAGACCGGAAGTGGCATTTTACTTTGTACCATTCCCGTTTCAATTTCCTCTGTTTGCTTTGTGAATTGACCACAAACAGATCATATCCTAAAAGCTATGCAAACGGAAAAGGAAGTCAAACGAGCAGAGCGGGCTTTGCTTAACATCTGGAGCAAAACGGTCCATCCACCGAAATAGCGTGTGTTAGCGTCAAATGTGAGGTGAACTTTGTTTTGACGTGCGCCGAAAATTGTGACCAGAGGCCCGGCTGCCATTTCGTGTCGGCTGAGGAGTACACCTTTTGTTTGTTTTGGCCGTTTCGAGGGGGTACTCATGGTGGGGCTGGCATGTCACAGGGCTATCGACGGTAGATGAGAACTACACAGTGAGCACTGGACGCGTGTGAAGAATGCCAGGTGAGCTTTGTTGTGACGTGCGCTGAAAGTTGTGACCAGGGGCCCGGCTGCCATTTGGTGTTGGCCAAGGAGCCAAGGCGCGCCTTCGGTTATTTTTGGCCGTTTCGAGGGGGGTACTAATGGTGGGGCTGGCGGGTCACAGGGCTGTCGACGGTGGATGAGGACTACACAGTGAGCACTGGACGCGTGTGAAGAATGCCAGGTGAGCTTTGTTGTGACGTACGCCGTAAATTGTGACCAGGGGGCAGGCTGCCATTTGGTGTTGAGGCGCTATTTGCTTTGTTTGAGCCGCTTTGAGGGGGTACTAATGGTAAGGCTTGCGTGTCACAGGATGGTTCCAGGTGGACGCGGACTACAAAGTGAGCACCGAAAGCGCATGAAGCAGTTGACGTGTGCTTTGTTTTGACGTGCGCCGAAAATTGTGACCAGGGGCCCGGCTGTCACTCGGTCTTCGCAAATGGCCCGTCGCTCGCATTTGTTCAATTTTTGGGTTCTTTTTGTCGTGGTGGCCATTAATTTTACATGACAAGTCAACGTTCGAGCTTTTGGTGCGCTGTACTATTGAAAGACGATTTGAGCTGAGACAGTAAAGCGGTTCAATTGCACTTCTCTCACAGGAGAGAACGATAGAAAACAGAAAGGGAAATATCCAAAAGAAAATGCCACTCACGGTCAGCGGGACCGTACTTATAATCTGGTGGCTAAACACACCCAGAGTGTACGAGAGGGTTCCTCGACGGGCGGCGGCAGCTGCACATCGTCGAGTACACTTATGCAATCCTTCCAGAGGGATCTGGCAGGTGGTCGATGCT